AATTTCTGGGCACTCTAGTGTTCAATCATCTTCCATCTTCAGATCACGAAAGGCAGACGAGCCAATCTACATTCTCAGGTTTAAGAAGATCGAACAGGGGAAGCTGTTGTACCCCAAAATTTTCCCTCCCATATTTCTCAACACATGGCAAGTGAGGTCCCCAAATTTCTCAAGGAAGTCCAAGAGTTAACCAGACAAACTCCCTCTTAAGGCAGTATACCCCAAATTAGGGTTTCTATCTTCATCGGGATGTGTGAAACACAAAGGACTAAAATTCTCACCATTTTCCTAATATGTTCTCAAGATCATCCATGTCAAGTTTCAAGCCTTGCAGAAGAAGTTTGCTCAGTCAACTGCTCAAATGCCTAAAAATCAATTGTACTAGGTCAAAAGTCAATTGTGGCCCACATACAGTTAAACTTCAAGATTTTTGGTCAACATCCTCATTTTGAAGTATTATTCATTATTTGATCAAGGGTTGATCATGATTCCTCAAGGATTGCTCACAATTCATCAAAACCCAAAAGTTGCTAAATTAGGGTTTTACAAGAAAAGTAAACTCAACTTTGACCAAGCATAAATTTCTCATACTTTATTAGAAATGACCCATCCAAAGCTCATTTTGAAGATGATGCAATTCCCTACAATTCATCTTCAGCTCCTAAGTTCAGATTATGCACTCACAAAAAGATATGAATTTTGACATTATAGGTCCTTTTGAAAAGTCAACAAAAACACCTTTTGGGTCAAAGCTTCATACATGAACATGGAAGACTCAATTGATATGAGACCAAAAGTATTGCTTAGTGGACATCCTAAGCTTTCTAAAAAGTCCAAGAAAACCTCTCTAGGGTCAAAATTGAGAGAGTTATGCATTGTCCAAGTTGACCATTTTTTCAAAATTGCCAAAAGTCAAATGTCTTCAAATTTTAATTTTTTGCTAAATGGGCCCAACTTTTTAAACTTACATCTCAATTATAATGTGTCCCACGACTCAAATGTTTACTCACTCATTATGTGCTTCATTTTTCAATTTATCTTGATTTTTTATTATTTAAAAAGTGAATTAAATCAAATAAATAATGAAAATTATCAAAGATATGATTTGATTTGTTTTTTTATACAGTTTGGCAATCAAGATATGCTGAGTAAACAAGATCACTTCAAATCAATGGAAATTGGTACAAGAAAGGCATGATTTGGCTCAAAATAGGAACATATTATACAACTTGCAAATCAAATCAAATCTTGGATAAATGCAAAGATTGATGCCAAGTTTGTTAACCTAGGTTATATAATGAAGCTTTCCAGATCAAAAAACAAGGGTTAGAGGTCGTGTAAAACCAGAACAAAACTTGAAAATTTCCAAGAAAAGTGTGAGACAAATCTTCTTCCACATGCCAATTCAAGGTGTGCTGAAGGTTCCAATCGCTTGCTAGACATCCCAGGAAGCTATTCCAATCACTCCCAGGTCTTGAAATGCCCAGAATCGCACCCTACAGGCACCACGGTTTGCCTAAAAACTTGATTCTGATTTCACTGATTTACTCATCATAAGCATGTTTTAATTATATATTCTTGTTCATCATCATGTTTGCAAGCTAACCATGCCATTTAATTGCATTTTTTATGCATGTACGTGATATTACCATTGCTAGGGTTTTATGTTCTTGTTTAGGCGTTTTTTGTACAGGCAAAATTAGGCCTTGATTCTGGTACCATGATGCTCGTGAGAATGAGACGAGTTGATTGGTACCCTTACCTTTCATTTATATTGCTTGTACAAGATTTTGGAATGTCACAAGTCTGTAGTTACACACAAATGTCCGTAGGTAAAAGTGTTCTACCTAAAACGATAGGCCGGTGAAGGAGATGATGGCGTGGCAGTATATGGCTGGCCTGTTTGAATTTTCGCGCATTTTATGAGTATATTATTTGATTTTATTATATTATTTTGTTTCTATTATATGAACAAATAGAACGCATAACACAGCTGGCAAGGGATTAGTGGAAGCGAGCATAAGGACCTGGGTTCGATCCCCAGGACCCAGCGTTTTCATTTGTATTATTTTCAAATAATTGATCCAGTGCGTTGCCCTTCATGATGTCCACCATGCTCCATCAATATCTAGTCATCTGGTGTGCCCCTAGCCAGATCCAACGTGCCAACAATGAGAAGTCTACCATGCTCCTCATGTCAACACCCACACCAAATCAAACATGGTCAAACAGGCTTGGAGTTTTTGGGCCGAGAAATTCAACTGCAAACCCCTCAGAATTGCTAACACTATCGGGCCCATTCTCATTCTTTTACATTTTTTATTTTCTTATTTAATTACTTTGCTTAATTTTTTTTTCTCATAAAAATTTATCATTTTTTATCTAATCATAAAAATCAACAAATCACAAAATACCAAAAAAACATTTTTTTAATAAATTATTTAATTTAATTAGGAATCTAGGTTAATTTAATTTCTTTTTTTTTACAATTAAAATCAATTAAAAAAAACTAGGTTTAAATTCTTGATTTAATTATTTTCTTTTTAAACAAAAAAATACAAAAATAGGTTGTTTAGAATTAATTAATTAATTTTCAAAAATTAATATTAATTAGAACTTAGGATTTTCTTTTAATTTAATTATTTATTATTTTCTTAAATAACAAAACATGACAAAAACATTTTTTTTCTCTTTAATCAATCGCAAATAGGATTAGTCAAAGGGTCAAAACCCTAATCGTCTCGCATTTAATTCGTCGCGCGCTTGTTAATTATTTTGCCATTATTTTGTAACTGCTCACTGGTTTGTAATAGTTAACTTAGGATTTTTATTTACTGTTTAAATCTCTGGTTTTTGGCTATGTAATTAATCCCCCTCCTCGAAGCCTTGTAATAGCTAGGTTTATTTTCTCGCATTTTTAATTCCTGCAAATATTTAACTGTCTAGATGTATGCTAATAGGATTGTATGGCAAGAATGCATGACAAAATTAAAATGGTTAGAAAACCCGAATGTGCAAAGATAAATAACTGAAAACAAATCACTCGCATATATCACCCTTAGGGTATACTCTCACTTCGGTTGCCTTCGGTAAACGATCATTAAGCATAGGGTGTCTTAGTGGTTGCCCTCCAGTCTAAAAAGATTAAAATGTCCCATTTGAATATTGCCTCGGAAATGTTACCTCGGAAATGTTGCCTCGACAGATCTTAAGACTCTAGGGTTATTACTAAGGTATCCTAATATTTCTTTAGTGATCGTACATCCCTTTCGAATTGACCCTTACAAATTCCAACAACGGTGCTACCTATTTCTCAATAGTAGGATAACGCTGTCTAAAGGAAACAAGAATAGAAACGATCTTTTTCGAGTAGGAAGATGCTAGTAGGTACTTGCTCAAATAAAAACTTTTCACACTTACACATTTCAAACAAATTTTCAAAACAACTTCGTCACACCCTTGAGGACTGATACAAGGGTTATCACGAAGTAAAACATTTAAAAAAAAAAAGCACACAAACACAAGCAATTTAAAAATGAGCAAGTACCTAAGAGCCCATGGAAAACCATGGATAGAAAGGGTGCTAACACCTTCCCTTTCTATAATCTACCCCCTGTACTCAAAATCTCGAAAAAAGATTTTTTTCTGTACTTTATTCCTTTCCGATTGGATGAAATAAATGTCGGTGGAGACTCTTGCTTAACGCGACATTTTGCGAACACAAAACGCAAAACGCAAACCAGTATTAAACAGTTGGTTCTGCCACCGTATCACACTAACCCTAACGGCATACAGTTCTAAGGCTAAAATCACAAATATCTTAACTAAAAAGGTCTAAAAACAGTGAAGAATAAAAAACTTACCGATTGAAGGATAAAGAGGACTGAGAAGAGCGGTGGCGAGCGGTAGAAACTTGAAAAACAACAGTGGTCGATAGGCGAGCAATAACGAGCAATGTGAGAGCAGAATGAAAATAAAAAGAACGCCCTACTCCACTCATATTTATAGTTGGGACCATCCGCGCATGGATAACACACGCCTAGGGAGCCCTAAGGGCGTCATCATTATACCCTAGCCCATAGGCCATCATCGTGCCGCTTCGTTAATGCACTTCCCAAAACATGCCACCTCTTCAAGTTCAAAGCCCAAAGCGACCAGCTGCTCATCTCCCCGCAAGAAAGGAGCAACAGGCGACACTCGTGCTCTCCGTAAGAAACATCGTATTTCACAATCAGACGTTAAAATCGTCGCTCCCATGCCCGGAAGCAACGACTTGGGGAGCTACTATTCTAGAATGACCCGACAACCAGAGCGGGCCCAGTCTAGACTCCCTCTTTGGTGCGGCCTATACGACCTTGACCTGAATCCTCCCCGCCTCTTATCGGATGCAAGCTATCATTTGCTCTCCTGGACCAGTATTGATCCACGGTGACCCACAAGCACCTCCTAGTCTGCCCGACATCAAGTCGCCCAGACAACTAGGAACCGACCAGACCGCTGTCTGTAATCTACCTCCTCCTCGGAACCAATAGCTAGTTACGGGCACACCTACTCGGTATGACCAAGTCTTTCCAGTTACCTATTTTCACGGGTCCACATATCTAGGCCCAAAAATAGAAACCAATGGCCACGCGCCAGAGGCATTATTTATACCCTCACACATGTGATGGTCAGGTATCGAATATTCACTATCACTGCTAAAACCCTAACACTTTACTTGTATCTCTTTGCTCCCACACTTACTTGATCGTCGGAGTGCCTTGCAGGTACAACCCATTTTTTCCTCCTCGACTTTCAGCCCGACATAAGATCATCATCTGGACACCTTGCAGGTTCTGATCAATCGATAAGATCAGAAAGTAATAACACCAACTTAAACTGAGAGTGAAAATCAGCATAAAAAGTATTGCAAAGAGTCTAAGAGATACAATGAACCATATCTTATTAACTAATATCTTACAATAGCACTACTATTATCTTACATTAAAACATACAATAAACTATTGTCTATGATGTATCTTCCTCCTTTTGCCATTATCTTTTCCCTGTCTGCGAATTAACCTCAATAATTTGTAAATAATTTGATCCACAAAATCAAAATATACATCTCCCCAAGAACTCTTGATTGTTATAATGAGATAAGGAACAAGAATACTTGTTGCAAACCCCAAACCAAGGCTCAAGTAAAACCAGTTATCAAACAAACCTTCACCATTTGTATCATTATTATTACTATGTATGTTGTCATCATCACCTGAACACTTCACTGGGAGTAGAGGACCACAGAGACCAAGATTCCCAGTATAACTTATAGCATCAAAGGTTGCCATATGACCTGTATAAGAAATGACACCCATGAGGTTGTTATTGGACAAATCTAGGGACCCCAAAAATGACAAGGAAGACAAATTTGAAGGAATTGTTCCAGAAAGTTTGTTATTTGAGAGATCGAGAGAGGATAGTTGAATCATATTTGACATGGTTTCAGGAATTTTTCCAGTTAAATGGTTTCTTGAAAAGTTGAGAACCACCAAACCATACAATTTTGTTATTTCATTGGGAATATTACCTGTGAAATTATTATCAGAAATGTTTATGCTAGTAACAAGGGAAAGAGTCCTGGTATACTCTAACATTTGATCTTTCACATACACATCTAAGCTTTCTTCGTAGTAGTGTTCTTCAAATTTTCCATACAGTATATACTTATTTTTCTTCTGCACTTGGGCTATTGCTTTCAGATAACCCAAGCTAGCGGGAATCTTGCCAGTCAAGTCATTTCTAGCAAGATCAAGGACTTGCAAAGAATCTAGTTTTGAAATGTCATCCGACAATTTTCCAGAAAGTGTATTAGACCTCAAAATAAGAATTCTAAGAAATGGAAAACCATGTCCAAACCAAGATGGTAGAATACCAGACAGTATATTGTAGCCAATATCCATGGTTTCCAAACTTGACAAATTTCTTAAAGATGGTGACAAATTCCCTGAAAAGTGATTGTCATTAAGGTGCAGTGATCTGAGACGTTTTAATTGGCCAAGAGAACCAGGAATTGTCCCAAACAGATTGTTATTTCCAAGGTCTAGTACATCAAGAAAGGAGCAATTTGCAAGGTCCTGTTAAGTTGTTTTCTGATAGATCAATGACAGTAACATAGGACATTTCTTCTAAAGACAATGGTATTTCTCTGTGGAGTTGATTTCCAGAAAGAGATAAAAATTCCACAGTACCCATATGTTGACTTATGTTCGACGGAATCACACCAGAAAAGTGATTGTGCGAGAGATCTAGCATCTGAAATCCAGGTGTTATAACAGGAAGAGGTCCGTCAAGAAGATTAAAGCTTAGATCAACCATAACAAGAGAAGCAACTGCCATAGGCATTGGATTTGGAAGCCGGCCTTGTAACTCATTATGAGACATGTTGAAAATTACCAAGTGAGATGAAATATCCCAAAACCAATTTGGTATAAAACCAACAACGCTTGCATTTGAAAAGCCTAGATACTGGATATTTCTTTATGATTTCAGCCAAGGTGGAAATGAAGGCCCCAAAGGACATGAACTCATTGAAATGGCGGTATCCAATTGGCACTGACATTCAGAGTGAATGAAGTGGAAGACATGACCAAAATCTTCAACTCACTTAGCTTTGAGAAATGGTCTTCAGTTACCATTTAACTTATTATCTTCAATTTCTAAGAAGATAATATTTTGCAATGACCCTAAGGAAGCAGGAATGGGACCTTCAAGAAGGTTATGTGCAAGATTTAGACTAGCTAGATTTTCAAGTTGAACTAACCAATATGGGATTTTACCATGTACTTGGCTACTGTGCATTTCAAAAAACTCGAGATTATAAAGAGGTTTTCTGGAAGGACAATTATCTACTCCTTGAAGAAACTCGGGTAGAGTTCCTGCCATGTTGTTTTCCGATAAATCAAGACTATTTAAGTTGCAGAGTTGACCAATGGAACTAGGAATAACACCCTCGATAGCATTAAAAGAAAGATCAAGGTAAGTGAGAGAAGTCATGTTTCCCAAGGATGAAGGAAGTGTTCCATATAATTTATTCCATGACAAACCAAGCTGTTCTATCTTTCCCCATCCTTTCATGAAGAGTTCAGAACAACTTGCTGTCAGATTGTCATTGTCCCCTAAATTCAAATACTGTAACTTTGGCAGGTCTCTTAAACCAAGTGGTATTTTTCCATACAAACCACTAAGTCCTATATCAATATATTGTAGGGTACTAATATTAACAAGCCAATCAGGTATGTTTGAAACAAAGTTATTAGAACTTAGATCTAAAACAACAAGTGAAGTAAAATTGTGAGATGGGGGAGATGTAATATGACCAGAAAGCTGACAATAAAACAGATGCAATTCTATTAAAAAAGGAAATTGGCCTAATGCACTAACCCAGTCTGTTTCTGATAACAATGAAAGGTCAACTCCATCCAAGACCAGATACTTCAAAGATACGAGGCAGTCTGTTTCTGATAACAATGAAAGGTCAACTCCATCCAAGACCAGATACTTCAAAGATACGAGGCCGTCCACCCATTGTAGATTTTCAACATAGGTCAAGAGACTGCAGGTGGAACTAAACCAGCAAAGCCAGCATTTGACAGATTCAGATATTGCAAATTCACGAGTGATCCCAAAAATTTAGGAATTGGCAATTCATTGAATGTGTTGAAGCTCAAGTCAAGATGCCTTAACGATTTGAGCTTCATCAAAGATGGTCTCAGCTCAATGAAAGCACTGGATGTGGGTTATGGAGATCGACGTTGTCACAGCGTATTCCTTGCCATTGACAACAGTTGGTGTTTCTCCATGAAGAGAGGCGGTTGTGAGAATACTGAAGCCCATTTTTGAAGTCTAGAAGAGCTTCTTGATCAGAAGCTAAGCATTCAATAGCTACAGCATTTCTATTAACATAATTCAGAAACAAGAAACCATAATAAACCAGTAATATTAACAATCCAACTTGATACATCTTTTCTATTGAACTTGTTCTCAAACTCTGGCTATAAATTGATAATAATATCTCAAGATTTTCAACTTATATCGACGCAAAGCTTTAGGGAGTAGCTAGCTTAATAATTTGTGTTGCCACCTATCACAGGAAACTTGACTTTTCCTTGGAACAAAAGAAGTTAAATTATAGGTATATAATAGATAAATGCAATATTTGTTTTGAATTCAACACTCTGCTCTTCGTTATGCGGCCGTCACCAAATCCGCTGCCAGCCTCCCGTCACATCGGCTCCACAACCAACCTCACTTTGCTGTCGCACCGACTTGAAGATGCATATCCCTAAGGGAGATTATTGCATGTCCCTAACAATAATCCCACACACAAGCTGGGGAAGCACTCCAATACGGTTGTTTTGTTACTTGTCTTATCGTTTATTGAGTCCCCCTCGTGATTACACATATGTGAATCAATTTAGAATCACTCTTGTTTCATAAATCTAGAGCTCTGAATCTCGCAAATTCATGTTCAGAAACAACTCTATATACAGTAACCTAAATATCAAAGTTTAATCCTTTCTCTGCACTCTACTAGAGGATTGATTTATAGGAATTTCAATTTAGAGAAAAAGATATACATTTGACATGTGTATATGTAGTTCAGTTTGTAAAAATTCTTGATTATCTGATTGTGGTATTTGTGAATTCTGAATGAACATTACATGACATGTTTGTTTATAGAGTAAGTGGAGGTTTGATCTGTAGCTGCCAGTCTACTATAACAGTCAGATTTTGTTGAAACCGAATATCAACCTACAACAGAAAGCTAAACACATATGTATGTACTCTGTCTGGCTGGTGTGAGCCTGGTAAATCACAATCTTTAATAACCGATGAAAATAACATGCAAATAAATACTTCTAATATTTAAGGACAAGACTAGATTAGCAAACTGTTTTCCCCTAATGCAGGTCAGGTTCATCAGGCAAGATTGAAGGGTCAAGAGGTTGTTGTTAAAGTGCAAAGGCATGGTCTCAAGGATTTTTTGATATTGATCTAAAAAACCTGAGTGTCAGTGTTATAGTTTATAAGGCTTTCCATATAAACCTTATGCTTATAGCTATGTCTGCAAATGTGATATTACTGTCTGATAATTATTTCGTTTCTCTTTTAGTTTCCAAATGCTGGTCTCAAGGATACTTTTATCTTGCATACATGATTTTCCTCGTTTGCATACCTGATAGGTTAATTGGCATTAATGAAGGAAAACATTTGTCTAATTATCCTGAAGAGAAATCCAATAATCCTACCCTACCTAAGTCCATAAATTTATAATTTTCAGGAGATTGGTGACACTAAGGAGGCTGCTAATGCTGAATTGTTTGTTGTTAGTAACTTGTTCATTTGTTCAAAATTTCCCAACTTGTAATAGTTATAACTCTCTTAATTTTTATCTTTTGAAGGTGATCTTGGACTTTTTGGAAAGCTCAAGATGTCATCTACAACCTCTATGTCGATCATTTTTGCTTTTGAGGACCTTATCTTGATATAAAATGTATTTTTGTTGACTTTTGAAATGACTTGTAATGTATTAGCTTATATCTCTCAAATGATGTATTTTTTGGACTTGAGCTTAGAGAGACAAAGTTGTAGATAATTGAATTTTCATAAAAATGAGTTTTGGTTAGGGAAAGATGATGAAACATGTGAAAGTTATGTTTGGTCAAAGTTCAGTTGACTTCTCATAAGGAAACCCTAATTTGACAACTTTTGACTTTTGATTATTTGAGGGCGTTTCTTGATGAATCATGATCAACCCTTGATCAAATGATAAATATGACTTTAAAATATTGATGTTAACAAAAAATCTTGAGGTTTGACTGTATGTTGACCATGGTTGACTTTTTACCCAATATAGTTGATTTTCAGTCATCTAAGCCATTGATTGAGCAAACTTGTGGTGCAAGGCCTGAAACTTGACATGAGCATTCCTTGAAGAATATGAGGAACCATGAAAACCACTTGAGGCCTTGGAAACCCAATCTTCCTTGACAAATACCAAATCCTAGTTATGGACTCGTTGTACCCCAATGTTTGCCCCTAAGATTCCTCTATCATTTCATATCAAATCAATCACAACAAGATCACACTAGGGTTTGGTTCTTCTTCTTATCTTTAGGTTTGCTCATGAGGAATCACCAAACACTTTGAATTGTGTATTGTGATCATATATGTTTGGTATTTATTAACTTTTAACTAACAAATACAATGAATGTTTGCTCTAATTGATGATACTATAGGTGAGGGCACAACATATTTCATCAGGTTGATTCATAAGTTCATGAGTTTATTTCCATGCCTTCTTCAACAAAGCTTCATTGAGATTCAAGCTTCATCATTGAAGGTGCTTTAAAGTAATATCATGACAAGGTCTACTATGATTCATCATGCCTCAATTTGTCAAAGAAAGTCAAAACATGCAAAGATTGATTGAAGAAGTTTAACCTAATTGGACAAGTTCTTGATTTCTTGATCAGGAGTGCATAACCCTCTCAATTCTTAATATTTGGAAGTGGTTATTGTTGTTATGGTTTCTTATTATCATCCATAGCAACTTCTATTCACATAGCAAAAGTGATTGTGCAAGAAAAATTGTCAAACATTGAAAGGGGTTTCCAAGTCATTTTGGTACTTTAGGAGCTAGGGTTTTGAACTTCTAAGGGTCATATCTTGTTTATTATTTGATATTTTTGAGTGATTCCAAATATGTACTTCTCTTTAAAGGGTTATCAACTAATCACTTCAAGAGTTTCAAGAAAAGTTTATGTGGAAGATGCCTAATGATGGAGAAAGATTACAAGTCCTCTAGATAGGTCATCAAATTCCCTTATGTGACTTCGAAAGATCATAACTTTGTAATCTCAAGCCTCAACTCAACTTTAGTTTTGATGAAAGATAAACAAGCTAGTTTGATGAAAGACAAACAAGCATTATGGAAAGAAGGAAAAGAAGTGGAAATTAACTTAAAGCATCATTCACTCAAAGCTTCAAGGATTTTGGCAAGCAATCAAGTATATCAATTCTCAATTAAACTACATTGATTAGAAATGCTCAAAAATGATATACACACTTGCCACATCACTTCAATTATATTTCAAAACATTTTTTAAGTTTTTCTCTGCTGTAAATCGATTAACATCTTGTGTAAATCGATTTACACATGCTTTTTCAAAAAAACTGTTTGCTCCTGCCAGCAATCGATTTACAGGTTGTGTAAATCGATTGATCACAGAACAAACTGATTTTTTAACTCTTGTAAATCGATTGACACAACATGCTAATCGATTTACACTTCAAATTTTTTGAAATTTTGAACGTTACAAACACGTGCAATCGATTTGCATCTTATGTTAATCGATTTGCACATTGAAAATTTTGAAAAATATGAACTGGTTTCAAGATATCCTTCACACTTTTTCTCCAATAGTTGCATGATCAAACATTGTATCTTGTCAAGTTTTTCAAACAGAAAAGTGTCCTTTTGGAAAGGTATCTTGATTACTATATATTACAAAATCTTTCAAATCAAAAATAACTCTTCTCTTATGCAATAATTCTGAACTTTGAAAAATATTCAAACTTCATATTTCTTAACTTTTAAGAACAAAGATTTTCTGCACTTTCTCACATATAAAGAACAGAAATCTTTGAGCATTATCTAACCATTGTGTTACAGTTTGAATTTCTTACAAGAGAAGAAAGAAGAAACTTCAAAGTAGTCACTCTATGTGATCAACATCTTTCAAGAAATCATACTTCATAAAATTATACAAAGTGTAACTTATTTCCAGGATTGTTGGAATTAAGTATTAGATTACTTTTGTTCCTTGTTGTCCATTGTTGGAAACAAGAGGTATCTTTTGAGAGGATTGTTCTCATTAGACTTATTGGAAATCCAAGAGGGTGTTCTTGGTTATTTGTTAGGTTCTTTAGTTGATAAAACTAGGAAGAGTCTTGTAAAAGTTCTAACAAAATAGTAAAATCTCTTGCGTGTTTGCAAGGGGACTGGACGTACTTCCGGGGTGTGGAAGGAACCAGGATAATTCTTCGTGTCTCTTTACTTTCTGTACTTTACAGTTTTCAAAGCACTAAATCAAAACCAGAAAGTATAAAAATAAGTCAAAAATCGACCACCACCTAATTCACCCCCCCTCTTAGGCACAATCTTAAACTTACAAACTTGATCAATTTTTATCTTCTTGAGCCTATTCTTTTTCCAAAATGATCTTAAGGATATGAGTTTCAACTCTTCTTTTATGTGCAAAGCTTGAAAATAAGTGGAAGATGCCTTAAGAACTCAAGATTATAGGTCACCTCATGAATTTTCACCAATTTTACAAGGCCATAACTTTTTCAATACTTGGTATTTTTTAGTGATTCAAGTTTCACCATGCTCTTTGGGAAGTCTACTTCAAGATAGCATCAATGATCAAAACTCAGTTTTGGAGGAATGCCTTGTTTGAACTCAAAATATTATAGGTCACTTTTGAAGAAAAACTTAGAATTTTTCTAAGTACAAAAAGTCAACATCTTTTTCTCAACTTTGACTCATCAGAACTTTTAGCTCAAGCATCCAACTGATCTCACTCTTTGCAAATTGTAAGGTTTGCGACCTTATCTTTCAAAAGATTCAAGAATCAGGCCCTAAGACTACTTGAGCTATGAACACCATGAATTCAAAGATGGTACCTTGAAACTAAAGTTTTCTCCAAAGTCAGAATTGGAAATTCATAATTTGGTTTCTAATCACCAATTTAGCACGCGTTTTTTGATTTAAACATGTTTAACAAAGTTTCCAAAGTTGAATTAAGGATCAAAAAACGGGAATTGATTGAGTTTTGATGCAGATGGGGTCACACTTTTTTCACTTTCGAGCTTGATCCAATTTCCCTCCAAACTTCAAATTTCCTCTTAATTCTTTGCACCATTCACTTCCCTATAAATAGAGGACCTGACTCCTCT